CAAAGAATAAGCATGCCTGTTTTGATAAAGATCGGTCAATAATTAGCGGGTCAAATGGACCCTAACTTTTGTGTGAAAAATTACAAAATTTGTATTCTATAGCGTTTATATTTACCACTGAAGGACATAGACCCGAGAAGTTGATAGTATATCCAAGAGGCGTGGTTGACCTTTGAACTGATACCAATTATATGGTCGTGTACACTCAGATGTGAGAGTTACACTTAAATATTTACAGGTGCTTATGTATTTATATTATATTTAGTAACCTATTACCACACTGGAGGGCGGAAATATAGCGCTGATCGCTTTGATATGTTCCATGAGGTTGCAGTCTGGTCAAGGACAACGCCTAAAATGTTAGGTGATGATCAGATAATATTTTTCGGGTGAAGTGGACCGAAAACTTAATTATTTGTACTTTTCGAGTCGAAAGCCGAACATCACAACACAACCCACGGTAAAGGGAATCTGGACAAGTAATTAGAGGTGCTGTACTGATTATTAGTAACATTTGCTGACCTCTAGCCAGTCAAAAGTGTGCAAATATCGCGAAATATTGCCCAATCTCAGAATATAAAACCACAGAAAGTTAGATTTTCATGGAAGTTGTGTAGGGTATCGTATGGCCGCTCACTGGTTATAAGTAGATTTAAACCAGTGAGCGGAGCAGTATAGTCGGACGGGACCGACCATACGATACCCTACACAACTACCACGGAACTCAAATTTCTGCGGATGTATATTCCGAGCCTGGGCAATATTTCGTGATATTTGCACCCTCTTGACCGATTAGAGGTAAACAGCATCTCTTCCTCACACTGACATATTTTCCGAATATTACGAGTATTCAGTACAGCTATTGTCCAGATTCCCTTCACCAAGGGTTGTGTTGTGTTGTCCGGCATTTGTGGTCTATAGATCGACTCGAAAATGACACAAAAAATTATTCCACTTTATTCCAAAATTATCTTATCAGCACCGAAAATTATAGGCGTTGTCCTTGACCATAACTGGAACCTCATGGAACATTTCGAAGCGATCAGCGCTATAGTTCCGCTCTCAAGAGTGATAACGGGTTACTAAATAATATACGAATACGGAGATACCTGTAAATTTTTATGTGTAACTCCCACATCCGAGCACATACAACCTCTTGGATATAATATAAACTTCTCGGGTCTTTGTCCTTCAGGGGTAAATATATACGCCCCAGAATACAATTTTTGTCATTTTTCACACAAAAGTCAGGGTCCAATTGACCCGCTAAATGTTGACCGATCTTTATGAAAACAGGCATGCTTATTCATTGGCCTGACCCCCTTCACCACCCATTTCACGATGTTCGGGCCATTACTGCGGCCTCTGGAGCGACCAGAAAAACCGACAAAAATTTAGTATTTGGTCCATTTCATCCCCTGAATATTAACCGATCTTTCCCAAAAACAATAGGGGGTTTCGTTGGCTAGAACACATCCTACATGCAAAATTTCGTGAAGATTGGTCCATAACTGTGGCCTGTATCGTGTTTACAAATTATAATGGAGAGATGGACGAACACACATGTCTAGATCGACTCAGCTAGTCGAGATATGATGATCGGTATACTTAAAGGTGGGTCTAGGAGCAATATTTCGCGGCGTTACAAACGTTTGGGGCTGCACAAAGCTATAATACCCTGACAACATAGTTGTGTAGGGTATAATTAATTTTACTTCAATTTGATAAGTTATTATTCTCTTCGTTTCACTCCCACGCGCTATTCCCAAAAACAAGTTATGTATGAATTGGTGTCGGAATACTTAACGTCAATAAGCACCCAATCTCTAATCAGGCAAAACGCAACGAAGAGATATAGCGCGCCAGCTGTCGCGCCGTCAGTCGGAATAAATCATTGTGGCTGTACATTACCCGTTCGTTACCATCGATTACTTTTTTCCCACTGGGTTATATTCTCTTTTTTCTCTTGTGGTCAGTCATTTTTGATGATGATCTCTCAGTTACGTTCTCACACACTTAATCTCACATTAGTTCTGTTCATCACTGGCCTATAGCTACAAACTACTGACTTACTACTGACCATGTCATTCTCAAGGACAAGCATATGTTAAATGTCAATATGAAAATGCATTGTGTTGGGAATAGTCGGTCAATAGTATTGGTGTCAATGTCAGTAGTAAGTCAGTATGGATTTACTATATACATTTTTTACAGGATATGTATACACATGTATACTTACTGTTGGGACTAACAGTGTATTCAGATTTAAGATAGTAGAATATATGAGTACTCAAAAAAGTTTGTTAATAGGTTGAATAACAAAGAATTTAGTTATTACTACTTTTTGGCTTCTCAATGTCATAATTTGCAATTACCTTCCTCAACCTAACACAGAATTAATTTATCTGACATCTAATTTCAAAAAATTAGAAACAGTGACTTTTCGTGCAGGCTGGACTTTTGTTTCCTCCACAATGAGCTACAATACAAAAAATGTAAGGAAACTAACAAGGATCAGTGGCGAGATCCGAAACTATAGTCTTCCCTGCCTTACCCCTTGGCGGACAATGTCATACTTTCCCCAATAGTAAAAAAATAAGCAAAAGTAAGAGTTTTATAAACCAGAGCTATATTGTAGTTTGATATTTTAATTAATTAGGAAAACCTTGCATGGCTGAAAAGGCTGAGAAAACGTACAAAGAAATTTAAAAAGTCGTTGGATGCAGTGCTACAATGGTATTTAACGCACTAGAAATTTGAAGGATATGTGCCTAGTACGGTACAATAGGATGAATAATTCTGCTTCCTCTTAAAAGATAAAAACGAATTTAAACCCACAAATCAGTGATGTGACTGTGCTGCGGAATTTTATCGAAAATAGTTTTGCAAAATTTCATATAGGTTGTCTTATATGGCGAAACAGTTTGTTTTTCCTATAATTTGGCATATGGCAAATCCATATGATTAATGATATAATGGTGAGAACAGTGCATTTAAATATCAAAAAAAAAAAATCTATTACAGATGTAAAACGATGTGTGGCCAATGCAAAACCCACAATAAAAGTCGATGTAGTTCAAGAAGCATGGGCCTAAATAACAAAACAGCGATGCAAGATAAAACTATTTATTTGCGCAATTTAATTGGAAAAAATTAAGTTTTTTCTGAACAGTTTAGAACTTACAACTTAACTGCGCTACTATTTTAATGAACACATCTGTATATACTTTACGGGGTCTCATGTGAATATTTTGATGCGTTGCAAACGGAATGACAAATTTAATCTGCACTCCACCTTATCCTCAAGGAATTGAAGAAATGCCACTAAATCCAGAATAAAATCGCTGTGCCGTTATTTTATTTTAATCCCCCTCAGATATACAGGCATGTCCCAGAAATGAATTCCGATGGAAATTGGAATTGATAGTTATATATAGGGAATATATTCACTCCGAAATTATATAGTTCGGAGAAGTTGTCAGCGAGTTACTGAATATGTCTAAAATGTTATTACAATTATCGCAAGGGATAAATGGAGGAATGCCTTTTTTGTTGACACTGTAGGTCAAATATGGAGCAATTGTATAAAATTTTAGCTTTGCTTTGATATCTGAATGATGCGGTATGAGTTTTATTGTCACACAATATGGAGAGCCTTAAATGAAAATTTGCTGTATGGACGAATTCCGAGTGGAAACAAATCAAAAGTTCCTAAAATGTTCTAAAATCAGTCTTTTAAACAATGAATGCTATATCCACAGGATGTGTAGCAGCCAATGGTGGAGGTTTACACGTTTGCTTAAATTTAAAATTTAATGTACAACCTATGGAAAAAAAATCTCCCACTGTATTTCAATCGTTTTGCTATTAGACACCAATCGAAACAGCTGACTCGTGGTGCCATTAACAATAACAACAACACCAAAGCAAAACACAAACAAATCAAAAACCGGCATTTATGCTTAGGCTAACAACCGAACAACCAAATCAAACGCCAATTATTTCCAATGTGAACGCCAGCAAACAAGTGAAGCGGAGTTGTGTCGCCGAGTGGCAAAGCGTGTTAGATGCTAAGCTAGTCATACTCGTTGTGATCGTTGTTGTTAGTACGAGAGCCGTAGACAATTGACGTGCGAGAGGAATGCAGGTATGTACTTCATAGATACATGGGTTCATAGAGCTGAGCTTGTACTGAGTCTAGGTTTGAGGCAGCACGAAACCTGTATTCGGAGCACTGTGTGAGAGTTTTCACGTTTCACGGGTCTCTGTCTCGGCGTCGTCGGCCAAAGTAATGGTTGGTTGGTTAGTCGGTTGTAGATTGTTATGTGATTTGCTAGAGAAAACGTTTGAGCCATGGCTTAAACTCTGACGCATTCAGTTTTGATTTAAGTTCGGTACGGTGCGGTACAACGACACGGAAAATAATTGTCTATTTTCGTTAACGTAAATTACGATAAATTTGCATTTTTGTGTGTTATCTTTTATTGTTTTGATTGTCTCTGCTTTCTTGGTGATTATTTCTTTTGTTTTATGATTTTACGAATTTGTCGCTTCTAGTTGGTCGATAGGTAGGTAGGTAAAGTCTCTCAGCATTGTTAATATGTTTTATACTTAGCTCCGAGTACGCGTCGGTTTGGCGGTGTTACGGTTTTCGAAAGTTAACGTGTCCGGACTATAAAATTGCACATTGTGCTTCTTATCCATCAACGAATTTATTTTATCATTTTTTCCAACATTTATTTAGAAAGATACCAACATACAAAGTGAAATATCAAAAAAAAACAACAACAAAAAGTGTATGCTTGTTCAATTGAGATTAGGAAAAGGGTAATAAATTGTCCCGAAATTCCAAACAAACCAGAAACAAAAATCATCAAAAATCTTAAAACGTGCTGGATTTATTTTTATCGTCGAGAAATACCACCAATCAGTTAAAGCCGAAGCTTGTTTAATTTAAATTAAAGCAGAGATAACGATATCAACAGAAAACAGAAAATTCAATTCCCCCACGTTTCATTAGCATTCAATGAATTAAATTTTACTGTTATTTTGCGCTGAAAACAAGGTGAGTAAAAATAATTCATTCACACAGAATTTGTAATTGGTGAAATAAGTGAGTTATTTAGTTGAGAAAAATATCAGATTTTTTATATCACTTTCATATCTGACGAACCGGGTATTATTATTCGGTTAGCTTGTTATGCTTGCAGACAAAATCGCTAACAGCTTCAGGAAATGACCCACTGATGAATGCAGCGCAATATATTTATTTTGAACTGATGTTTGGCAACAGTAGAGGAAGAAGAAGAGAAAACCCCCCAACAAAACATACGATTAAAACAAACGAAGATGAAGATTAATTAACCAGTTTTAAACCAAACATTTTCGAGTGACTCAGGGGTATTGCCGCTGCCCTTGCATTGATCATTTTGCAGATATTTCAAATTTTAGGGGCTAGTTATTATGTTTGGCACAGTAGGGGGTAATTTATGAGTATTTTTTAGAGCTTAATTCACTGTGCTTGTAGTTTTGGTTATCATTTCTAAATATAATTATTGTATATTAGCACTTTATAAATGCAATATGGATCCTATTAATGCTTCACAAAATGATAAGACAATATCGTATTAACACTAGAAAGACGGGATATATCTATATACCTATATTGCCTAAAATCGGTCAAAATGACCTCATTCTGAAAGAATTTTTATTGTGTAAACAACATTTTTTTAACTAATTTTTTAATATTTTTTACATTATTTACAATCATACAAAACGTTGTTATTATTTGTTTTCGGTGGTAGGGCTCTCGAGTTTCCCCTTTTGAAAAATAAGAGCGCGGACAAAATGCTCGAAAAAGAGGAAGTCTTTACTCTAAGAGTGAAATCGACTGGAAATATAACATTTATTTTTCCCGATTTGTATGTTAGTTTGTGTTTCTAGAGCAACAAACGGGTTTCGATGTTGTTGTACTGATCTGGTCATATAAGAAATTTACTTTATACAATAATAAAAGTAGTTTGATTATTTAATATTTCACAAAAGGTCAAAATGACCGCTTTTAGGCAATATAGGTATAGCACATGTGAATACGGGGAATGAAAGAGGGGAGGAAGCAGCTACTATGGTTAATAAACGTAGTTCTATGTGGTACAAAAAGTCACCAAATTTTAAGAAGCTGGATCATAATATACAAAATTGTTTTTGTACTTGAAATTGAAAAACGGTCAAAATGACTGCCTTCGGCAATTTAGTGTTAATATTCTTTCGAAGAATAAAAAATTCTACGCCAAATTCCACTGCAAGTTTCAAAACAAACTATATATTTGAATTGATGGGCATGATAAAATGGTATCTTTTGGGAAAAATGGGTAAAAACTAGTAATAAGTGCGATTTTAACCCCAAAATGAGTTTTTGTTTTTTGTTTTAAGGATTTTAACGTTTAGGTTGATTTTTGAGTTTTAGTCTATTCTGAGACTTATAGTAAAACTTTATGGCGAACATTTCTGTAGAATATTCTGAGCTCCTTAACCCCGTTTTGAATGAGTTTTCAATCACTTCTAGAAAAGAGGACCGAAAAGACCCCTTCAAAATGTCGGTTTAGGGTTAAAGTTGTATACCAAAATATTCCTCGGTATTTTATCAGTAATATTGCCGAAGACACTATATACCTAAAATGCACGGATTTCATGAAACCATAATCCGAAAATTATCAAAATTCTTGAAAAGGGGGAATAATGACCGCCTTTAAATGTTACCTCCCACGTAAACTTTCAAAACGCCGATACACGTGTCTTCTTTTTTAACCCCTCCTTCATAATTTGTTGGAATTTCCCGGTAATTATTTTTTATGTTGCACAGTGTTATGATTACCGTATGAGTGATCCCGCGATATATTTCCATCCGTAATATAAGGAATATTTAAAGGCGATGAATGTTTCGGCATGGTACAATGGGATAGGAACAGTTATGGAAAGAGGAAAAAGTCAACAGGTGTCATGTCCGATGAATACGGCGGTTGTAACATGACAGTTTGTTTTCATGGTGCAACATGAAAAATAAGGTTTTCCACAATTGAATTTGTCAAACAGTGAAAATTTCCAATGTCCTTACGCATCTTATTTATTTTTTCGAATAGTAAAAAATCGAAGAGCACAACAAAACACGACTAACCTTTTTATCCAGCGTGATGTGCATTGAAAATTTCTTCAATCGATTATAAACTTTATACGGGGATTATGTTATTCCGTTGCCCACTGAAAATTTAAAAATTTTCCTTCCTTAAATAAACATGTTAAATTCGTATATGTTTATTAAAATAAATAATATTTCTATGGAAAGACAAAAATAACCGTGAAAATGCATTTAAGCTGATGACAATATTCATCGAGATCACCAAAAATATATAAGTTCATTACTTTTATTTTTTTGCGTATACATTTCAGTAAAATATTTCAGATTCGAACTCATTACATTTGACCTATACATCTACATACCTACCCTTCTTGACACTGAAACTTCTACTCAAGTAAGTCTGATGTTACTGCTACACCTAATAAACAAAAATGTTAACAATTCTGTAATTAAAATTTACTGCATCAGATGTATAATTTTATATGTTAATATTAATTTATAAAATACCTAATATGTGTATATGTGTCGAGTTACGACACATGCCAGAAAAACTAATATCGACCATAAATTAAATTTGAGTACCAGTTAGTACCAAATTTCATGATTCGAGCCATAAAGGTGTATAGCACACATTATTTCCATAAGAACCCATCCCAAGCATCTAACAAAACTTCCTGCATACCCCGATCCTACACCCCCCAATGATTCCAAATTCAAGTTTCAGGATTCCAACTCCATTGGTTCCCTTACAATTTAAATTGTACCAAATTTAGTGCACAGTAGTACCAATTTCCAAAACTTCCTACTTAACCCAAACCTACACATCCACAGTGATCCTAAATAAAAATTTCAGGATTTCAACTCTATCGCTTCACCCACAATTTTAATTGTTCCACATTTAGTACACATTAGTACAAATTTCTTAAACTTCCTACATATCTCAATCTTAAATGCCAACAGTGAACCCGACTCCAAATTTCACGATTCCAGCTCTATTGGCGTACCCAATATTCAAATTGTGCTAAATGTAATACCCATAAGTATTAATTTCTTGAATCCTGACCCCAATCCTACAGATCTACAGTGATCCTGACTCAAAATCTCATCGTTCCAGCTCCATCGGTTCACCCAAATCCAAATTGTACCAATTGTAGTACGATTTAGTACTTTTCGTACACATAAGTAAACAATTTCCAAAACTACGCACATATCCCAATTATACACTTCGACTCGATTTGTACCTTCAAATTAAATGTGTACCATATAGTACTTTTCGTACACATTAGTACACGTTTTCAAAACCATCTCCTTAAATAGACCCTACATCTCAACCCTAATGCGTATTCCAAATTTTACTTTTTAGCTCTATGCATTCACATGCTACGAAATTTAGTACTTTTCGCATACTTACAGTTTGAATGTTCAAAAAACCCTTTGATTTATCCATTCTACAATCCACCCTATTTTAAAATTGAGGAGTTCTACCGGTTCGCCAAATACAAATGGTATCACATTTAGTACTTTTCGTATCGTTCAAGCACGAATTTCCAAATACCAAGAGTAGCCCTCACCCAAAAAACTCTACACTCAGCCGTTTCCCCTGGGAGTTGATGAATCGTTAAGTCAGCCATTTAATCAGTAAGTAAGTCAGTCAATTTCTTTACTCTTTTATTAATATAGATACATCCAAATTAAATCTGGTCATTTTTCCATACTTCTTCCAACGATTCTATTATCTCTTCCATAGATTCGTTAAATATTTGAAAACAATTATGTCGCTCCACCTAAAGTGCTTCACAATATGAATGTAGTCGTTTGAAAGATTTATTTGTTTCTCGAACTATTCTAAATAAAGTAGCAGACCTTTTTGGAGAATTACGACAGAATGAGCTAATTTCCAAAATTGTAGAAAATATACTTCGAATGCTGCATTAAACTTAAATTGAAAATGTGAGAGGAACAATGAATTTATACTGCAGAAGGAAATTTAGATTTAATAACACTGTGCTACAAAACAAAAAAAAGAAAAAAGAAAAAAAAAGACAAAAAATTATTCAGGAGTTCTAATGTACCAATTCGAAAAAAGGATAATTTAATAAAGTAAATAAGTTATTCGCGTTTCATATTGAAAATCTATGAGACCACGTTTTTCTCTACATTTACCGTTATAAAACTAATTTTCGAAGTGACCCAGAAAAACCATAGGTATTTAGGACTCCAACTAAACATACATAGGGACTCCAACTAAACAGAATTGGTACATTAGAACACCTGAATAATTTTCATGTCGCACAGTGTAATGGTGTGCACTCCATTAAAATTGTCTGACATGTTAGACACGCCGTTATATCCTTGACCTCTCAAAAATGTTGGATCCAAACCCAAACCGATTGCAGTGTTTATTATGACGGTCGAAAAGGAAACATTCTTAGCTTTTTTAGTTTCCTTGTCAAAAATCTTATACATATATAGTTTTATCCGCTAAAACCGAAAAATTCAACAATTTTCACATATTCAACAATAGACGTCTCCAATTATTTATATTAACTCGTTCTGTAATCTGGGACTCAGGTATGTTGCTTTTTTGGGTGTACTCTCCAAATTTTTTTAAAGTTTTTCATTACCATCCGCTCTATATCGCAACTGCGCTAATTCATTCGGATTATCCACGACTATCGACAGTATTCCGGAGTCTTTACTTCCCCTCAAGGCGATATTATACCTTCCAAAAAAATTGTCTCAGTGACCACTTTAACTTTACACTTTTGTTCCTTCAAGTATCGTAAGCTTGTGTGACCATAACATGGTCTATACTTTTTGGAACATCTTTCATTCTCGATATAGCATCTTTTTAATTTTTAATAGGGTGCGACAGAAGTAATTTTGAAAGATGCGGTTTATATTTGTTTTCAAGCTTTAACCACAATGGT